TCGAAAAAAATACAAAAGGGTCCCCCTTATGTGTTCTTTGAAATTTTCAAAACTTGTGGAATGACAGACCCGCCGGGCCGGGCATCCGAAATTCGGGAAAAAGCCCGGCCCGGCCCGGCCCGTTACAAGTATGGTTTAATTGGTTGGAAAATATTGATTTTTAAAAATGTTATGAGCTATTGTCCACAGGATCTATGTCTGTCTGTTTTTGACCAGTTTGCTAGTACCGTATAACCTGTATTAGAAGGACCATCCGGAGGTACCGTGGAGCAATAGAACGACCGATCGGGTCTTACGGTATTACGGTGTAACGGTATTGCGGTATTACGGCATTACGGTTACGATAAGGATATGTATGCTCAATAGAACATTTCAAAAGCGAAATTTCAAAAATCACGAAGCATGAAACCGCCGCGAAAAAAGTCATATACACAAGATCAAAATGTTTATCTTTCCAGATCCTAATCCTCACACTCAAACGCTCGGCGCCGAACATCATGCGATTCATGACATGTGCCATTGTGCTCTACGCCGGGTTCCTCATCGCCGGTTGGGTCATCATTGGTCCCTACAGTATGAAGTTCCGCACGTTATCCGAGTCGTCAGAAGCACTATTCTCACTTCTGAACGGTGACGATATGTTCGCCACGTTTTATACGATTAATGATTCGAATACGGTTATCAAGGTAAGGAATTACTGTTGCTTCGATTTTTGCAATTTTTTTCACAAAAAAATCGGCCAAACTACAGTAATCAGTGTGATATAAAAAGGACTTGCTCCTTTGATTACTGTAGTTGAGCTGAGCAATGATTGAAGATACTGTAGTCGAGCTGCAGTAGCTTTACTCTAAAAATCGGGCAAACTACAGTAATCAGAGGCGCAAATATCGAAAAATCCCGATTTTCAGGTATTCGGAACTGTGTATATCTACCTCTTCGTGTCACTATTCATCTATGTAGTACTATCACTGTTCATTGCTATCATCATGGACGCCTATGAAGTTGTCAAGGTAATTGGAAATTTTCAGAAGGCGTGGATTTTTAGAAGACGTCAAAAATGAGGATAAATAGACAGAGAAACAGAATTTAGTAGAAGACGTCGGCGATTCAGAAGACGTCAAAAATGAGGATAAATAGAGAGCGAAAGATGATGTTTAATTATTCTGTGTGAGCAGGCGTCTAAAGTGTTTTCTCTCGCTCCACGACAACGTCATCTGATACACGAAGAGAGACATTTTCCATAGGCGAAATAACACCCAAAAAATGGCATGTTGTTTATAATTTAACGGAATTTTCGAATTTTTGAAAAATCACAAACTACAAAGATCATGAGCAAAAATTGCTGTAAATTTTTAAAATTAAAATTTTGAGATTTTCGGGAATTTTGGAGAATTAAAAAAAAAAAATTTTTTTTTGAAATTTTCGATTTTTTGAATTGTTTCGAAATTTCATAACTATTTCATACAAAGATCCCGAGCAATTAGCTAGCCAAAAATGAGGAAATTTCGAAAAATGAAAATATTATTATTTTTTGGATTTTGACACTAATGAGCCTCCTCATGATTAGCTATCTAATCAGGTTCTCCTCGTGATATTAGGTTTTTTTGTTTTTGTGAATTTTTGAAATAAAAAATTATAGTTTGGTTTTTCAAAATTTCAGATTTTTGAAGAAAAAAATTTGCTCTAAAATATCAAAAAATTTAATTTTTTTTTCGAATTTTCCGGAAAATTCAAAATTTCTCCGAATTTTTGATTTTTAAATTTTCGATTTTTTTTCCCGGAAAATTCTGAGAAATCGGAAAATTATTTTTGAATTATTCGATTTTTGAAAAAATGCGAAAAATCGAAATTTCCAATTTTTCGATAATTGGAAACTTTTTTGTTCAAAAAAAAAACCTTAAAATTTGAAATCTTGAAATCCGAAAAAAAATTTTCCAGTGCATTAAAAAAAATTGATTTTTGAAAATTGCGAATTTGTTCTAAAAAATCTGAAAATCTCAAATTTCGGTTTTTTTTTGAAAAATTTTTTTCGATTTTCGGAAAAAACTGAAATTTTGGATTTTTGAATTATTTCAGTTTTTCAGTGCATATTGTGAAAAAATTGAAAAATTCAAAATTTTGAAAATTCAAGACTTTGGGGTTTTGGTGAATAATGAAATTCAAAAAATCTGAAATTTAACAAAACAACTTTTTCTTAAATTTGAAAATTCAACAATTTTTCAATTTTTAAAGCAAATTTTAATATTGTTTTTCAAATCGAAAATCTAAGAATCCAGGAATATTAGACTCGGAATGCTGAAAATCCAAAAAAAAATCCCATTTTCCTTTTTTTTTCTGGTCGGAGCCTGATAGTGAGTGTACTGCTTTTTTGGTAAAGTAATTGAAAATTGTGATTTTCTGGATATTTAGAAAAAAAAAATCTAAGAATCTAAGAAGCTAAGAATATAAGAATCTAAGAATCTAAGAAGCTAAGAATCTAAGAATCTAAGAATCTAAGAAGCTAAGAATCTAAGAATCTAAGAATCTAAGAAGCTAAGAATATAAGAATCTAAGAATCTAAGAATCTCGAAATCTCAAAATCTTAAAAATCCCAATTCTTCCAGGACCGCTACTCAGACGGCTTGCGTTCAATGGAGAAGCGTGGCTGTCTTCACGATTTCCTCGAAATGATTCCACCGCCGTCGGAACTCGGCTCCCCGACCACTCGATCCACCTACGCACCGTCGAATCTGCTGAATCTGGGTCGGTGCGTGCCTGTTGCATTGTCACGAAATTGCTCTTTTTTAGCTTCTTTTTAATTGTCTTTTTTCTCTCTGCACTCTCTTAATTTCTCATGTTATTTTGCACGTCTCACTTGGTTACTGTAGCTGTGATATGGTCGTCGTGGTGGTGGACATCCGGACAAACAGACAAGTGGAAAAATACAAAGAAAAAAATCCGGAAAATTGGTCCAGGAAACTTCTAGAAGAGTCTTAAAGATTCCTGGATTCTTAGATTCTTATTCTTAGATTCTTAGATTCTTAGATTCTTGGCTTCTAGAACCTTCTAGAAGCAATTGGACATCCGGACAAACAGTCCCAAAATTTTCAAAAATTAAAAAAAAAATCCGAAAAATAACAAAATTCTCTAAATGTCTCTGCACCTAATGCATTGCATCTCTATGTCATTTTTTTGAATTTTCATTTTATTATTTCATTTTTTTGAGTTTTCATTTTCAGCGGCTGGCAACGACTCGAGTAGAGCACTTCGCGCTCTCAACGCCATCGACAATGCTCGCGACTGGCTAAGCAGTCTAAGAGACGGAACAAGGCAAGTGCGCTCTGTTGAGAATCTTGTTTTTTGTTTTTTGAAAATTGAATTTTAACCGGGCCGAATTCTAATCAATTTTAACCTCTAATCAGAAATCGTGAAAAAAATTTTCCAAAAATCGATTTTTGCAGGTTCTAATCATTTTCCAATCCACTGAACGAAAATTTTTCATGGCCATTTTAAAATGATGGCCTAGAAATCCAAAATCAGAAAAAATTAGGCCATGACGTGGATGGTTTTGAAGAGCAGGATTTGACGGTTCCAAATTAGTTTTCAGATTTCAAAAATCTTGATTTTGAAGCGATTTATGAATGCGGCCTAGTTTTGGTTTTCTAGGCCACCAACATCAAATTGGGTATAACTCGCTTCAGAATCATTATATTTGAAATTTGACAGCTGGGTTAGATTCGCCACAACCTGTGCTTTCCAACCACATGCAACATGATCTAGTTTTTACAAAATTCGGGTTTCTAGGCCATCACTGTTTTTCGAAAATTAAAAATTAGATCTTTTCAAGAATTTTTTTTAAAAAATTTTGATTGTAACCGAAAAAATGGCCGAATTCTAATCAATTTCAATCTCTAATCAGAAAATGTGAAAAAAAATTTCCAAAAAATCGAAATTTGCAGGTTCCAATCATTTTCCAATCCACTGAACGACTCGCTCGATGAGCTCCCATCATCTCAAAACAATGAAACAACGCAACCATCAAATGTATAGTAGTAGAAATTCTTGATTTTTAGATTTTTTTATCAATTTTTACCAAAATTTCTCTTTTTTTCCTGCAAAAATCTTTTTTGTCTGTATTTTGAACATTTTCCTGAAAAACCAAAGATTCGTTTCTTCTCAAATTCCTCTTTCCTACTTTACATATTTTCAATTTCTACTTATTTATGTTGTCATGTATGGTGCTATGTACTTTTTCTTGTGATATTATGTTTTCTCTATGTGATTTTTGAAATTTTCAAATTGAAATATAAAGTGTTTATTTGATGGTTGGAAATCACGAATTGTGACATATATGAACCAATTTTCAGATTGTCGAAATAATGATTTTGAAGCGAGTGATTGCTGCTTGAAGTTGGTGGCCTAGAAACCCAAATTTTGCAGAACCTAGGCCATGTCTTATATGATTGAAGAGCACAGGTTTTGGCGAACCTAACCCATTTTTTAAGTTTCAGAAATCATGACTTTGAAGCGAGTTACACCCATTTTAGTTTGGTGGCCTAGAAACCCAAATTATAAAAAAACTAGGCCATGTTGCATATGCTTGGAAAACACTAGTTGTGACGAACCTAATTCTGTTTTTTAATTTTGAAAATATTGATTCTGAAGCGAGTTATACCCATTTCAAGTTTGGTGGCCTAGGAATCCAAAACTAGGCCTCATTCATAACTCGCTTCAAAATCGAGATTTTTGAAATCTGAAAACTGATTTGGAATTGTTTAAGCCTGTTCTTAAAAACTGTATATACCGGAGCCTAGTTTTCCCTGAGTTGAATTTCTAGGCCACCACATCAAAATGGGTATAACACGCTTCAAAATCTTTTTCTTTTTTTTGAAATCTGAAAAGTGATTTAGAATTCTCTAATCCTGTTCTTCAAAACAACATATAACATGGCCTAGTATTTTAGATTTTGGATTTCTAGGCCATCATCTTAAAATGGTCATAATTCGCTTTAAAATGAAGATTTTTTGAATCCTGAAAAAAACCCAACACCCAAAAAAAACAATCATTTATTCACTCAATATTATCAAACGAAAAGTCCCACACTCGATTCTTCTCCTCAATCACCTGCTCCACTTTCGGAGATTCCGGGACGAAAGCGACCATCTGAATGCCCAGCTCATCGTCCACTTTCAAAACGCATCCAGCGTTTTTATACAAGTTACAGTACATTGGCGCCGAGAAAATCGTAATCAGTTTCTTTCCACTAACAACCCAATAACCATCGAAACACATTTGATGAGCTCGGACGATGAGTTCGACGTCAAGTCTCGCACAAACATCATCAATCACATTGGTGCCAAAAACGAATCCCGAGCCACGTGCACTGGTTTTCCATTCGAAGACCGCTGGATCTGGGTCAGCCCAAAGCATATCATTGACGATTCCACGGAATGGGTTTCGAATTGGTTTTGGGTGATTTCGAAGGTCGTCTAGGGTTATGAGAGATGGTGAAAGACCTCCATGCATGCAAAGGATCTTTGTGGCAATTAGAGCAGAGATGGGGAGGTTGTTGAAGCAACGCTGAAAGTTTAGAGCTTTTCTTGTAGTGCATGTTTGCGTGGTAGTGTTTATATATTTTTCTATGGTACCATATACCCTGCATCCCTTTCATTTTTCTACCGTACCATATCGTGCCTAGCTACCGTAGAACCTGTAATTGGAAGGTCCCTAAACTTTGACTTTATTTATCTTGCTTCCTGTGAAAGATATCAAAAAGTAATCAATTGATGAAATATTTCTTATATTATGATGAACATTTTATCAGTTGACAACTTTTTGAAATCTTCTACATGAACCGAGTTAAGTTAGCTCACAGTTAGAAACCGTTCAAACTCAGGCACGACTGAAGGGCACCCTGAACTTTGACCAAATTTATCTCGCATTCTGAAAGAGGTATCAAAAAGTCATCAACTGACAAAATGTTTGTCTTAATATCAGCAACATTTTGTTAGTGGACCAATATGAAATATCTCTTACAGGATCCGAGATAAATCGGCTCGAAGTCAAAAAACAGTTCAAGTTCAGGCGCGACTGAAGAGTACCCTAAACTTTGACCTAATTTATTTCACTTCCTGTAAGAAATATCAAAAAGCGATCAACTGACAAAAATTATCTCTAGTTATGATAAACGTTTATTAACTGACCACTTTCTGATATCTCTCATAAGAAGCAAGATAAAGTGGGTCAAAGTTAGGAAACCCCTTTTTACAGGTTTCAGATTGGCTAGAACAGTATCTGGGATTACGGTAGCTATGGTCGCTAGTAAATCACATTTCACAAAACAAATTCGACTGAAATTTCAATTTTTTCGCTTCAATTTCTTCATTTTGAAATTTTTTCGGATTTCCGGTTAATACTTTAAAATTTGAAAATTTTGCAAATTTTGAAAAAGTAATTCCAACCTTTGTAAATTTTATGAAATCTTAAATTTTTTGTACCAAACTGCTCTTTTTGTTTTTTGGTAATTTTTTTCGGATCTTTTTCAATCAAATGTTCGAATTTTTGACAAAAAATTCTACAGATCCTTAAGCTTTTAGATAGAAATTCTGAAAATTAGAAATTCGAAAATTCGAAAATTCAGAAATAAGTTTATTCTGAAATTCGAAAGTTTTAATACTTGAGAAAATCTGTAATTCAAAAAGTGAAACAGTCAAAAATTCCGAAATTCAGAAACTCGGAAATTCAAATATTCAGAAGTTCAGAAATTCAGACATATTTCAGATAATTAAGAAAAAACGCCAACCTGAAACATCGCCCAAATCTCCTCTCCATACTTTGGTATCGATTGCAGACACTCATCATAGAATCCATATTTCTTATTGACTCTGGCTATCTCATGATTACCGCGTAGCAAAACAATGTGCTCCGGATAGCATATTTTATAAGTGAACAGCAACATAATACACTCTAAACTCATCATTCCACGATCCACATAGTCGCCTGTGAAGACGTAAACGGTTTCAGGAGGACGACCCAATAGAATGAACATATTGATGAGATCGTTGTATTGTCCGTGGAGATCACCAACCACTACACACGGTGGATCTATATCGACTAGGGCTTTCTCGGAGGAAAATATTGTTTGAGCCTCGTAGATTATGTTCTCGTATTCTTCTTTCGAGTAACGCATTTTGTGAACCTACAAGAACGATTTTTTCCGGAACGCGATTGAGCTACGCGGGTAAAAAATCTGCCGTCAAAATCGTTGACCCAATTTATCTCAGTTCCTGTGAAAGGTATCAAAAAGTCGTCAACTGATAAAATATATCTGATGATATGCTGAGTATTTTGTTAGTTGAATAATTGTTCATATCTTTGACAGGAGCCGAGATAAATTGGGTCAAAGTTAAAGGTATCTCCAGTTGCGAACTCGGCTTGCAGGGTCCCTGACTTTGACCCAGTTTTTCTCGCTTAATAAAAAAGATATCAAAAAGTTGTCAACTGATAAAATATTACTGATATCTTGATAAACATTTTGTTCGTTAACAATTTTTTGGTATCTATCACAGAAAGCGAGATAAATTGGGTCGAAGTTTAGAACCCTATTCGTCGAGTTCGCGACTGAAGGGTCCCTCAACTTTGACCCAATTTATCTCACTTCCTGTGAAAGATATCAAAAAGTGATCAACTGATAAAATATATGTGATAATATGCTAAATGTTTTGTTAGTTGATCACTTTTCGATATCTCTCACAGAAACCGAGATAAATCGGGTCAAATTTTAGGACCCTACTCGTCGAGTTTGCGACTACAGGGCATCCTGATCTTTGCACCAATTTATTTAGCTTCCTGTCAAAGTTATCAAAAGTCGTCCAACTGATAAAATATAGCCAATAATATGATAAGCATTTTGTTGGTTTACTCTTTTTGATATCTTTGACAGGAGCCGAGATGAATTGGGTCAAAGTTAAAGGTATCTCCAGTCGCGAACTCGGCCTGCAGGGTCCCTGACTTTGAGCCAGTTTTTCTCGCTTCATAAAAAAGATATCAAAAAGTTGTCAACTAACAAAATGTAGCTGATATTAAGATAAAAATGTTATCAGTTTACCACTTTCAGGTTTCTCTTACAGTAACCGAGATACATTGGGTCAAAGATGAGAGTGTGTGAGTCCCATTTGTTTTTGGATTTTCGTGAAATTCGAGGAATTGTTTCAGAATCGAGAATTTAGAAATGTTAAGATTTCGCAGAATTTTAAGAATCCAAAAAAGTTTTTTGCTGGATTTCTAAGATTTTCGGCCAAATTTCGATTTTTTGAAATTTTCCGAAGAAAGTTTTTTTTTCCTTTTTAATTTTTCAACATTATTCTTTTAATTCAAATAAATTTTGAGCGATAATTAACACAACATTTTCAAATAAAAGACTATGTGCAACTGCGTCCCAACAACAAAAAACCTAAAATTAGCAATAGAGCGCTCTTGCATCCCTATCTCACCCCATTCTGCAAATAATCGATATGATAATGCTTATTCGCAAACTCCACAAAATCAATCCGCTCCTGCGTTCGATTCTGTGCCGTCGTCTCCGATGCATGCGTCATTTTCCTTCGTCTCTCCGAATTCCGCGCCATTTTCTTCTGAAGGCGATTCTGAATCTCCACAGCCGCTTGAATTTCAGCATTATTTTTAATCGATATCGGACGTGTCAAGTCCTCCAGCCGAACCGTTTGCCGTTCCGACACCGGCTGCGTTTTCGCCATCGAATGCACCATTGATTTGCTGAATTTTGTGTGGCTTTTAAGTCGACTTCGCTCCATCGCACGCTTTTGTTCAGCGGAGCGCGGCGCGAAAAATTGAAAATTTTGTACTGGAAAACCGGTTTTCAGCGGTTTTTTATTCATTTTTCGTCTTTAAAAATTGTTTAACACACACACAAACACACACACATTTTAAGCACAAAATATTCAAAATGTTAGATTTTTAAAGAATTTCGTTCGTTAAATTGTTGAAAAAAAGCGTTTTCAGCGAATTTTTATCATTTTTTTCAAATTTTCGTATTTAAATATTGATTTTAGGCTAAAACACATGTTTTCAAGCTACTATCCGCTTAAAATCTCTTCCGGTCAAAAATATACCGCCAGTTTTCAAAATATGCTTAAAAATCGATATTCTATTTCATTTTTTTTGTCCGGAATAGCTGATTGTACATTTAAAATGTGTATTTGAGCCTGAAAAACAATGGAAAAAGAAAGAAATTCGCAAAAAATCGGTTTTTCGGCACAAAATTTTTCAAAAATTTCAACACCAAATTTGATGCAATCACGCCCCGCCGTATTTTCCTTAAAATTACTCTTTCATGATTCCACCCGGACGCTCATCCCTTTCATTTAGTATATTCGAAGTGTTTCTGATTCTTCTATTCATTGGAGACACCTTAAACGTTTAAAACTGTTCATGTTGCAAATGCGCTCCATTGGACAAACCGCCACTTGTCGCTCCTTTTTGACCGATCGCGCCGGTCGGGAGCGCGCCTCAACGGCCGCTTCTTGACGACTTCCATCGGCCATTTTGGTAGAAAATATTGACTTTTTCAAGTTTTAGTGTTGTGTGGATTGGCTGGAAATTCCACGGCCCACAAAAAATGAGGCCAAAAAGTGGCGAAAAGTTTTTTTTTCCGTAAAACAAACACCAGATGAAGACTACTGTACATTCAATAAATATCACATAATTACACCAATTAACCAATAACTCAAAAAAAAAAATCAATAAATTAATAATCATCCCATCGTTTTCAACTGCTCGCGGAGCTTCTCAATCGTCGTATCCAGATTCGCATGAACTCCGGCACGAAGATCCAGAAGTGCGTCATGAAGGTATTCAGCGTCACACAGGAATTCTTTGACGAGTCCCTTCGAAAGTGTCGCCGATTTTCCATCCGTCAGCCAGACGTCGTTAATCGATTGGAGCAGTTTTTTGACGACGTGGCCGGCGATTTTATCCAGAATCGCCGCGAAAATCGTGTCGTCGTCCGGGGCTTCGAGAACGTCTGGAAGAAGGAAAATAGCTATAAGAGGGCGGAGTCTTGGATCAAAAGAAGCGGGACTTGATTTTTAAATTAAAAAAAAAACCGGAATTTTTAGACAAAAATTGATCTTTGAGTTTTGGTGGTTTTTTTCCAAAAATTTCAAAAATTTTAATTCTGAAATCATTTATGGCCATTTCAGGATGATGGCCTAGAAATCCAAAATCAAGAAAACTAGCAGTTCCGAATCAAACTTCAGATTTCAAAAATATTTATTTTGAAGTCATTTGTGACAATTTTAAGATGGTGGCCTAAAAAACCAAAATCAGTAAGAACTAGGCCATGGTGTACGTGATCTTAAAGAGCAAACTCTGACAGTTTTAAATCAGTTTTCAGATTTCAAAAACATTGATTCTGAAGCGAGTTATGATCATTTCAAAGTTCGGAAAACCTGGCCTAGTTTTGAATTTCTAGGCCACCAAACTTAAAATGGGTAGAACTCGATTCAGAATCATTATTTTTGAAATCTATAAACAGGGTTAGGCTTGTCACAATCTGTGCTTTCGGATAATATGCAATATGGCCTAGTTCTTGCGAATTTGGGTTTCTAGGCCATCACATTCAATTTGACATAACTCGCTTCAAATTTAAAGAATTTTGGAAAATTTCAAATTATCAGGTTTCTGATTTCAAAAATCATTATTTTGAAGTCATTTGTCACAATTTTAAGATGGTGGCCTAAAAAACCAAAATCAGGAAAAACTAGGCCATGATGTATATGGTTTTGAAGAAAGTGCTTTGACAGTTCTAAATCAATTTTCAGGTTTCAAAAAAATTGATTTCGAAGCGAGTCATGATCATTTCCAATTTGGGAAAATCTGGCCTAGTTTTGGATTCGGCCACCTAATTTGAAATGATCATGACCGCTTCAGAATCATTATTTTTGAATTCTGATATCGGGTTTAGGTTTGCCACAATGTGTGCTTTCCAATGATATTCAGCATGACCTAGTTTTTGTGTATTTGGGACTCTAGGCCATCACATTCAATTTGACATAACTCGCTTCAAATTTAAAGAATTTTACGAAATTTCAAATTATCAAGTTTCCGGTTTCAAAAATCATTATTCTGAAGTCATTTATAGCCATTAAGGAAGATGGCTCAGAAATCCAAAATCAGGAGAAACTAGGTCATGATGCATATGGTTTTGAGAACATACTCTGACAGTTCTAAATCAATTTTCAGCTTTCAAAAATATTGATTTCGAAGCGAGTTATGATCATTTCTAATCTGGGAAAATCTGGCCTAGTTTTGGATTCCTAGGCCACCTAATTTGAAATGATCATAACTTGCTTCAAAATCACTATTTTTGAAATCTAAAAACAGGATTAGGCTTGTCATAATCTGTGCTTTCGGATAATATGCAATATGGCCTAGTTTTTGCAAAATTTGGGTTTCTAGGCTATTGCTGATTTTCGACAATTTTTTTCGGTGCTTTTTCAGTGATTTTAGGGCAAAAAAGGGGACGTGGCCTATAAATCTCTCTAAATACCTTTATTCATATCCGCCACATGTGCCGTGAGCGCAATCTTGGTGCTCTCATTGGCCAGCGCCTCTTCCCAGAAGCGTAGAAGATGGAGAAGGTTCTGGAAAATTTAAATTTGAAAATTGGCGTGAAAGTTAAAATTCAGAAATTCAGAAAATAGGAAGTTCTGAAATTCAAAAATTCGAAATCTAGAAAATTCGGACTTTCAACAACTCATTACTTCCGAAACTCAGAAATTCCGAAATTTCGAAAATTCAGAAAATCGGAAACCCCAAAAATTCTTAGCATTTCAAAAATACCGAAAAAATCAGAAATTCAAAAAAAATGGCGGGAAATTTGAATTTTTGTCTAAAAAAAAGAAAAAATAAGCTCACTTGAGTCGCCGAGACAACGAAATCCTGTGGCGTTGGAAGCGCGGATTTCGGCATGTCGACGCTCTCCTTGTAGACTTCGCTCTGTAAAATTTTTTTAAAAAACATTATTTTAAGCTTTTAAAGCTCCGAAAAGCCCATTTTGAGTGATTTTTCGCTCTAGAAAATCTACCGTAATCTTAAAGGAACATGCTTCAAAGTGATAGGGCCTAGGCACGATATCGCCTCTTTTTCATATTTTTAATTTAATTTTCTGAGCAATCGAGATTTCAAGAATTTTGGGCGGTTTCAAGCCTGTAAAAAAATTATATTTTGAAGTTCTGAATTTTTTAAAGCTGAGCAATTTAAGTTTTTGAGTATCTTAAGTGATTAATAGCCAATTTTCAAGGTCTAAATGCTATCTAACCCCATGATTCGGCATTTTATCCGTCACAAATCGATGACTGGCTCGAATAGCGTCTTTCACCCTCTCATTCATCCATTTCTTCGCCTGTTTCAGCTCCTGCCCCGCCTTCTCATCCGTCTGCTCCTTATACTCATCCACAATCCCCGCCAACTGTCCAGACAGCGAAATCCGCTCCAAATACTCCTCGAGCTTCGTTTTCTGTGCCGAATGATCCTCCATTCGTCCCAAACGCATCGTGTAGTCCGTGAAAATCGGTTTTAGGATAGATATCATGTATTCACGACCGTCATCGTCAGAGTAGATTTCTAGAAGTTGATGGGAGATTTCACGGAGCAGATAGGCAAAGTTCTCGAGGCTTGTGGACACTTCGGCGACGGATCTCTGGAAAAATGGGCGAAATTGAGTGGGCGGAGCTTAGGAAATTTGAATTTTTGAAATTCGAAAATTCGAAAACTCAGAAATTGGGAAAACTAGAATTTCAAAAATTCCAAAATTCGAAATTTCTGGAATTCTGAAAACACGAAATTCGGAAAATTCGAAAGTTTAGAAATTTCAGAAACTCAGAAAATCGGAAACTTGAAAATTCAGGAAATCGGAAATTCAGAAAGTTGAAATTTTGGAAATTTGGAAAATTCAAAAATCGAAAATCCAGAATTTCAAAATTCCAAAATTCGAAATTTCTAAAATTCTGAAAACACGAAATTTGGAAAATTCGAAAACCGAAAATCCCGAGTTTCAAAAATTCCAAAATTCGAAATTTCTAAAATTCTGAAAACACGAAATTTGGAAAATTCGAAAATCGAAAATCCAGAATTTCAAAAATTCCAAAAATTCGGAATTCCAAAAATTCAAAAATACCTAGAAATCTGTAAATAGCTTCAATAATTTAAAATATCCGGATTTTTTTAAATTCGGAAATTCCGAAAAACCAAAACTTTAAAAAAATCGAAAAATCGAGAATTCTGAAATTCTGAGAATCTAAAAATCGGAAAATCAAAAATTCAAATTTAGTTTTGGATACTTTCAATTCTTTCAAAAATCTCTTAAAATCTTCAATTTTGCATCTTTTTCAATTTTCTTTTTCGGAATGTTTTTGTAGTTTGTAGTCTCCAATTTCAGGGAGAAAATAGTTATTTTCAGCCAAAAAATCGCAAAAAAAGACTCACAAAATTCAAGGGCGGCGGCTCAACCATACTCTTCAACTTCTCGCCCAACGGCTTTTTGGCGCTCTCCAGAAGCCCATCGACAATGATTCTCTCGATATTCTCAATGCATTCCTCATCATCTGCAACGCCTTCTGATGCGGTGTGGTTGGCTGCGTCAAACTCCTCATAGGCCTTGCTAACGATCTGGAAATTCGAAATTTCAGTTTTTTGAAATTTTTCTTCTGGAAATCACCGCTTTCAAGTCTGATAACAAGTCGTAATCAGTATAATTAGTCATAGATTGCTCAAAAATCGCTTCCAACGCTCCATTTTTAACGAAATTCTTCCAGGCGTCCAGAAGACGTGTAAAGGCTTCAGACTCGTCACAGTACTTGCAGAGGGATCTGAAAAAATAGGATTTTAAGCATACTTGTAATCCGGGCCTTTGCCGGGCCTTGGCGGGGCCTGCCATAATTTCTTTCAAAATCGATATTTTCGAACCAACTGAATTAGATATGATAGAGCTCCACGAGTACTACGAAAAGGTATTATTTGGAATACTGTATATTATCTATGAACAAAATTACAGATCATAAGTGGCTTTTCTCGCAGGGCCCGGCAGGCCAGGGCCGGGCCTGCTTTTTTTGTTCCTTTTGCTCTGTAACTCTGTTCATAGATAAGATACAGTATAATGATACCGTAGATAATATACATAGATAATATACAGTATAGCAGGCGCGACCCGGGCCTGCCGGGCCCTGCGAGAAAAGCCACTTTATGATCTGTAATTTTGTTCATAGATAATATACAGTATTCCAAATAATACCTTTTTGTAGTACTCGTGGAGCTCTATCATTTCTGATTGAGTTGGTTCGAAAATACAGATTCTGAAAGATGTTATGGCAGGGCCCGCGAAGGCTCGGCAAAGGCCCGGATTACATGTATGATTTTAAGTGAAAATTGAAGGATTTTAAGCTAAAAATACAAGAATTTTAGCTGAAAATACAGGATTTTAAGTTACAATTGAAGGATTTTAAGCTAAAAACACAGGATTTCCAGTCAAAAATACAAAATTTTTAGATAAAAATACAGTAATTATAGCTCAAAATATAAGATTTTTAGCTGAAACACATGATTTTCAGCTAAAAATACAAGAATTTATGCTTAAAATATTGGAATTTCTGCCGAAAATACAGGATTTTAATTCAAAACGAAAACATTTCAGCTAAAAATACAAAATTTTCAGCTAAAAATATAGAATTCTTAGCTAAAAATACAAGAATTTCTGCTTAAAATGAAGGAATTACTGCTGAAAATAGAGGATTTTTAACTAAAAATACAAGAATTTCAGCAAAAAACACAACAATTTTCTGCTTAAAATATAGGATTTTCAGCTAAAAATATAGGATTTTTAGCTAAAAATACAAGAATTTCTGCTTAAAGTATAGGAATTTCAGCTAAAAATACAGGATTTTTTCGCCAAAACTTTACGGGAAGATCGAGACTTTCAGGTTCAAATTCAATTTTTCGTATAAAAACTCACCCAATATGCGTTCTAAAGTGCTCAGCGGCTCTCGAAACGAACAAACTTCCGATTTCTTTCAGCGATTTCTTCTCCTCAACGCCAGAATGCTTAGTGAGAAGAGTGTTCAGCGATTGGTCGAAATGATGTTGATAAAGCCGGTAAAAGTCTGAAATTCCTCTTTTTGTGACTGTTTGTCCGGATGTCTTACCATTGACCGAATTCAACGTGGTAAACGCTTCAAAAATGTCATCTAGGCCACCAGCGGTATCAAATTTGACAGCAAATTCCGTTCCTTTCCAAGCCAGGTATCGATCCTTGGTTTTGTGATAAGCCTCGGTGTCGAATTTTGGCTTGGCGCCAAGCTTAAAAATTTCAAAAATTTTCTCGAATTCTTCGCTTTCAAACCTCCTTAATAATCTTCAAATTCTCGCCAATCGCCACCAGCGTCGGGAGCAACGAATCATCGATCGCCCGATCCTTGAGCTTCTCTGACTGCCCATCCTCCGAATCAAAAATCTGTCGGGCATCCAGAAGACGTGTCAGCTGCTTCAGATTCCGTTTCGCTGTGTCCAACTGCACCAGCTGCTCTTCGTGTGGCGCGTACGGCATTGTGCACTTGGACATGTTCTCCTGGAGGCAGGAAGAGAGGAGCGAGATCTCGTGGCCGATTCTGGAGAAGTTTTTTGAATTTTTTTCCAAATTTTTCAAGCTTTTTTCTACCTTGTTTCTACATGAACCATCTGCTTAAATGTGGTATGCATATTGGCATTCAATGAGTACAAATTGCGATTCAGCTGCTCGACAAGCTGCTTACAGGCTTCGCCACGTGGAATATCCGAGTAATCATCTATCGATTTTCGTTCAGCAGACCCATGATGATGTATTGTCATTTTTCAGCCAAAAAACCTAGTTTTCTGGAGAAAAATCTGGGTTTTCAGCGATAAATGTCCAAAACGTGGATGTCGATTTACGGTAAACAGCGCGCGCAAAGCGGAATTTCGGAGTGTCGTTAGTGGCGGGAAGCACAAAGATTCGAATTTAATAACCTCTTTTTTCTATTTGTTGCATTCAAAACGAAAAATTTATTGTGAAATAAAGCAGAATTCCATAAAAAAAGAAAGAGAATCAAACAAGTTAAATTTAAGCTTCAATTTTTCGCAGAATAACAACACTTTTGAGGATTTCTCCCATCAAATATTGAGACATATGGACCACAGCGATTATAGATAGGATTAAATAGACTAAACCGCCTGAAAATTTGAATTTTAAAATTGAATAAATCATTAAAAATAAATAAAAGCTCACCCCAAATGTACCAATGCGCGAAATCAGCGTCCAATGTGACCAGGATAAGGGTTAGAGCCGTTCCGATTTTCAGAACACAGCAAAATGAAATTAGGCTGAGAAGCAAAAGTGTCGAAAGATATCCCATTTTTAGTTTAATCGAAATTTTCGATTCTTTAGAAGAATAGTTGAAAATCATTTTTGAAATGCTGAAAATTCAAAAAAAATTGAAAAAAAACTCTGAAATTACTTAAAATTCATTCTTTCTTGAGAAATAAGATATTCTGAAATTTTCTAGAAATGACAAAATCCGAAACCTTCTCACTTTGAATTTTTGAATTTCCGAAATTTCGAAAAAAAAAAATTTTAGATTTTTGGAGTTTTCAGAAAATTCCAGAAAATAGAAGAAAACTTTTTTTTCAAAATTTCAGAAATTTTGAAAGTTCCAGAATTCCAGAAACTTGGAAAAAATATTTTAAAATTCTGAAAAATTGGAAAGCTCAGAGAAACCTCTTTTTTTCGTAAACTCTAAAAAATGCTGAAAACTTTGAAAACTTCCAGAACATCTGAATTTCTGATTTTCTGATTTTCCGGGTTTCTTATTTCCCGGATTTCTCGAATTCCGAATCTATGAATGTTGAATTTCTGAATTTCTGAATTTCTGAATTTCACAATTTCTGAATTATTGAATTTCTGATTTCTCGAATTTCTGAATTTTCGAATTACTGAATTTCTGAATTTCTGAATCTCTGAATTATTGAATTATTGAATTTCTGAATTTCTGAATTTCTGAATTTCTGAATTTCTGAGTTTCTGAATTTCACAATTTCTGCATTATCGAATTTCTCAACTTAAGAAATGCATAAATCCCAGAAATCCAAAAATTCAAAATTTTCAGAAATTCTGATATTCTGAAATTCTGAAAATCCAGAAATCAAAGAAATTCAGAAGTTTTAAAAAGTTCGAAAAGTGTTGAAAAGTTAAGAAATTTCGAAAAATTTCATTCTAGAACTCTGAAACTCGGATGTTGAAAAAATTTCAGAAACTCAAGATCAGAATTATACCAAATTTTGGAAAACCAACGTTCTCCCTAAAATTAAAAGACAGTTCAAAAAATCAAAAATTAATTTCCACCAATTTTCACAAAAAAAAACAAAAAAAAAACTAAAACCCTAGGCGGGGGTTGAACCAAAAACCGCCATCTTAACAGCCAACAATGTACACCACTAGACTATTAGTGCACAGTGGAAAATAGGAAGATAATGCAATTATAAAACATGTCACGCGTGAAAAAAAAATCAAATTTTGCTTTTCGAAAAATCACGTTTCTGAAAAATAAAATTTTTTGAAAAGTGGAAAAATGGAGCGAAGAGATAAGAATCTCCCAGGAGATTTCGTATATAAGGGAAGAGAGAAACAGTAAGAATCAGTCAGTTCTCCAGCTTCGGCTGGAGAGCTGGGGCTCTTGGAGCTTGGGCTGCTAGAGCCGGAGCTCAAGGAACCGGTGCTCTGGGAGCCAGAGCTCTGGGAGCCGGAG